AAAAATAAACTAAACAACATTTGCCTGGGCACTACATCCAAATGCTTTACCAAATTTGAATTAAAAATCAAATACAGAAAATAAACACTACGATAAAAATAAAAAAAAATAAAAAGATAATTAAAATGAGTGAGTGTGCCAACACCTTTTCGACACCGCCGTGTTTGCCGATTTTTAATTATTTTTTGGCATTGACAAATGCCCTGAACGTTTACAGATATGTAGTTTACATAATGAATAACTCATCAAAGTTTTTTCAAAAAATAAAAAAATCTTTTAGGCCCCGAAATAAAGTGAAAACAAAAAGTTAAAAGTGAAAAAAAAACAAAATAGTGAGTGGGCGAGCACGTTTTGACACCCCCATCTTTGACGATTTTTAATGTTTGTTTGGCTTAGCAGAATGGCTTCAAAATTTATAGGCGTGTAGGTTACATCATAAAAAACTCACAAAAAAAAATGCAGAAAAACTTATTTTTAGGCCCCGAACAAAATTTTGGCGGGGGCCGAACCTAGAGGTGTTCGTCCCCCGAACGGGACCCCGAACGCCCGAACGTTCGGGGCCCAGCCCGGGGGCCCCCGAACGTTCGGTCAGGTAACCCTGTACATATATATATATATATGTATATATATATTATGATTAGACATAAGATTGAGTTTACCTCAAGGCCATCGCCCTTTTAAAAAAAGAAAACATGAGGCCAAAAATTCTTCACAAAGAACCCATAGTCACAGGCTAGGCCATTACCCAACAACACTTGGTGGAGCCATCCCTACTCTGGGGGCATTTAACCCAACCAATCTTTGCAATCGCTATGCGCCCGCCATAGCGTATGATTTTTTTCTTTTTTTTTTTTCACGGATCATATATTAAAATGATTAGAATAGATACTGCACTTGATCTTACGAGTTCCTTGAGCCACAAGGAATTTCCCTTGTGGCTCGTAAGGGAATTTGGTGGCGTCGTTGCACACATCCTTGGGGACGTCCCCCGAGGACGTTTCCTTGTGGCCTGCCCGCGACCATTTTCATATGAAGATATGTGGTCGTGGGTGGGGGTGTCCGTGGTCTAGCGTCCGGTGTCCGTGTGGAGACCAAGTGGTCCAGCGACGTCCGGCGGAAAAGGGCATGAGACAGGCCACGAAAAATAAAATATAAAAGGAGGACCTCTACGTTTGAAATTTAAAATTTGAAGTACAACTGTGGTGATGACGACGACGTTCAGCTTGCAGCGCGCAGACGTTGCAAGGCTGAATCGGCCTTAGCGGCGGCGTACCGTCCGCCCACCTCCCGATCAGTGTACGTGCGTGCATTGGGTGCGTCCATCACCGTCGAGCTTCTCCTCCACATCGTCCGCGCCGCCACGTGCTGTTCCACCAGGGGGACGACATCCACAGAAAGGCGGCAGCTTCTCGGACCTCTCCTCGGGGGGTGAGCGGGTTATGTCTCTGGGGTGTGAGGATTGAGATGGCAGCGGAGAGACGTCATCCTTGTGGAGGTGGTGGCGATGGAAGGCAGCGGAGAGGGTGGACGTGCGCTATTGACACCGCTTGAGCGGGGAGCCGTGGTGGCGGCCGTGTTATTCTTCGTTGTCAGGAGGAGAGGGCACTGGGACGAATGAAGGAGCAGTTGCGTGTGTGTAGAAGAAGGACGCTGATGCAAGCTGCGGATGACGGCCCCGACTACGTGGCAACTTCAGAGGCTGTCATTCAGCTGTGGTACACGTTGGGTTGCGGTGTCATTCCACGAGCGACACCGAGGTGGTGGATAAAACACAGGACGGGGGGGGACATGGGAAGACCTTCCACAATGCGACGATGCCACAGATGACTACTTCAACGAGAAGCAGCACAGCGCCAAGGACCAGCAGAGGGACCAGCAGCAGCAGCACGGTGACGAGGAGCACCAGAGGGAGCCTGCAGTACAGGTCGGCCATGAACTGCACGGTGGAGAGGGCAGCAATGAGCACACGACGACGGAGTAGGCAAGAGTCTTATCGGATGCGCAGCATCTGACGGCATGCATGGGAATATGACGCTTGTGAAAAAACCTCTTTTGTGGATGGACTGAAGGCGCCACCGGGAAAAAAAAAAAATTCCGACCGTTGATGCTGGCCGAAAACGACGACGCTGCCCCATGGAGGCCCACCGCCAACAGTAGCCGTTTGGGGGCGTTGGGGGACTAGGCATACGTTCCTCGAGCGCGCGAGACCGCATGATGCCGGTCGAAAACGACTATGCCACCCGATGGAGGCCCACCGCCAACAGTAGCCGTTGGGGGACGTTGGGGGACATTGGGGGACTATGCAGACGTTGGAGGGCGGGGATGTCCATGCTAACGCTGCTGGACCACATCTGGACCACCCAAGAACCAAAACTCTCCGTGGACGCATGTCTTCGCCACTCCTTGAATCACGGTTCCTTGAGCTCCAAGGGACCTCACGAGGTCCCTTGGAGATAAGGAAATAAATTTCTTGTGCGACACTCCAGTGAGACCAACCCCCAGAGGCGGAAAGAGGGTGAGAAGTCGGTGGGGGCTTCGGTTCCGGTGTAGCGGAGGGGTGCTAGCACGGGACTGGGAGCGGGGAGGGGAATGGTCAAAAGGAGCGCGCGCGCGCGTGCGTTACGGTACGGCATTGCGGCTACGCCACGAGGGCAGCTGCCGAAAAAGAGCGCGCGCGGCGAGGCGCGCATGCGAGTGTGTTTCGTTTTCGGGTCTTCCCAGGTCCTCCGGAGCGAGCGCGTTTCGTGGGTCGGGCCGGTTTTGCGTTTTGCAGAAGAAAACCGTAAGGGGCAGGACGACGGCCAGCCTTGCGGTTGGCTGCCGGTCTTCCTCACCGCAGCTGTGGCACCGAGGCTCGGAGAGGAGGCCTACGTATCCGCATGGCATTGCGTTGCCGAAGCAGGTCGCTTTTGCGACGAAGCTGCTTGCACCGACACACGGAAATCTCGCTCGCGACAGCACATCATTCAAGTCTCCGAGTGGGGACGTCGGGTCGTCCCCCGCAGCAGCTCGTAGCTGCCGTTCTCGGATGGCGTTGGGGAAGGCGAAGGTGGGGATTCGTGGAGGATGTGCTAAGCGCAGGCGTTGCAGGGAGAATCGCTGCCTCGTCGTCCTTGGATCGAGCAAAGCTACCAGCCAGCTAGGCAGCTAGCCAGCTAGCCAACCTGTGAGCCTGGTGGTTGCGTGCGTGCTCGGTTGCGTGGGTGTGCTCGCGTCGCTGTTTGGTAGTTGCTCGTCTATCTGCCGCCTGTCGTGGGAGCGCTTACGGCACGCGTTCTCTAAAGGACTCTGCCATTGCACCCTCGCCGCTCAGCGCGCGCGAGCTCACACAGGCAAGCACGACGAAGGCGTTCATCCTCTTCTTGCCTTCCTCCTCCTCCTCCTCCTCCGCCTCCTTCCAGGCGACGCTGGTGTGAGTGCTTACTCGAGTGTCTTCGTTGAGCTGGTTGGGATCTGCACACTGCGAGCCGGGTCGGTCCTCCGGGTGGGTGGTGGAGGAGATCCTCCGCTGTTCTCCCGGGGAAGCACGGCGCGAGGTTGAGCGGAAGCAAGTGAAGGGGGTGTGCGCGGGGAAACCGAAGCGCAGGGCAGGGAAATCGACATCTTCTGGGCTTCTCATAAGCTCGCGGGCGTGGATCGGGACGGGTCGAAGCCGCGCCAATGGCGGGACTGGGTCTCGCCGGGCGCGCGATCGCGACTGTGAGAGGGGCGTCGCCATCACCAGTGCTGGGAGGGTACAACCTTGTTCCAGTGGGAGAGCGAGAGTACCGTGTGGTCCCAGATGGACAGTGTCGCGGCCGAGTGATTTCCGGAGTGGACTCGATCACTAATGCCAGCGCCAAGCTAAGACTCGATGAGAGGACGCCGGCCAAGGCCAAGAGATCTGTCAGCACCGACGGTTTCACCAGTATTTTAGGGGTATAATCCACTTTCTATCTTCTTGTACTCATCTTTGTCGCTCTGCGCTTGTTGTCCCAATATCTCGACATACGTGAGCTTGTGTTACATCTAGATGTTTTGTACTATCCACTACGTCACAACAATCTCGGCAACTATTATGGGAAATGCGTATGCTGATATTTGAGTTGTATTGAGGTCTGTGTCAGAAGAATTCCCTTCTATCGAGATATGGTTGCATGTAATTGACGTCTATAATTAACTCGCGGATGCGGAGGAGGTCACGCACTTTGGAAAACTGCGTGTAGATCGGGCCCACTTATTGTGATCGTGTGTCCGTGTCATCCCAGCGTCTCGGCTGTAGGTTGGTGAGATTCTGGAAATTAGTGACACTGTGCGAATCACTAGAATCATGCTGGAGGGGCGGGAAATGAATGGTCGCTACCGCTGCTCACGGTTGTGTGACTATTTGCGCAATGGTCTGTCTTCAGTAGTTCTTTTTCTTTGTCTTGCATTTCGCATGCTTATGTTGGGAGCGTCGGTGCGAGCAGATGCGTTTGTGGTAATCAGCGCGAAGCACCCATGCGCAATCACGCGCATGCACATCCACATGTGCACATAGACACGTACACGCACATGGGGACGTGCGCGGGGTGTTTGCATGCGTGCGTGCGTGCGTGTGTGTGTGTGTGTGTGTGTGTGTGTGTGTGTGTGTGTGTGTGTGTGTGTG